TAAGTTAAAATTTTAAAAACTTTTCAATGTGCAAAATGGAAGCGGTGTGGAAAGTGAAAAAATTTTGACTCGAAAATATCATATTTTCAGTTGGAGCGAAATTCAGCCGACAGACAAAGGGTAGTATACGGTTTTTTTAATAAGGTAACATTTAAATTAACAAATGTTATTTACTTACAATATGTTGCTTTTTAAACGTGTAATAATTTTCCGGTTTATTCGTGCTTCCCTTTCCATTCTATGGAAAAGCAACAGATCGAGAATCAATTGTACCTAGTCTTCGGAGAATGATTTAACAATATGAAGGTTAAATTCCATTTTCTGTAGAAGAAACGAAGAAATTACGAGATACTTGGAGACGAGTGATACGAGATACTTGACTTTCAGTCGTAACCGCATCTGCTAGACATAAACCATTACTGGCAGGGTCGAGAATTATCTTCCATGTTAAATTCACTCGTAAGTCTTAAAGAATCAATGTGCGAGAATGAAAGCCAGCTAAAAAAGCAAATAAATGAATGCCAGGTCGAGGACCCTCTACTTAACTCACGGAAGCTAGCTATCAGAGAAGGCGAAATCAGAGAGAGAACACTCGAATGAAACACGCCATTTTTCGGAGATGTCATTTTGCTGGAGGTTAAACTCCCCGGTGCCGACATCCCGTGGGCCCCATTCGTTTTAAAATACTAGTTTTTGAAACGACTTGGGAAGAGAGTTCGGTTCTCCATCTTTCTGACATCCCTTCCTTAAATAGCTGAACTTCGTAAAAGTGAATGTTCCTTGTCGCATCTAAATCCTCTCCGCTCAAGAATGAATTTTCACCAGAGTTAAATAGGTGGTATAATCCAAATAATAGGTTAAATCCAAATATCCGAATAAACTGAGACCATAGAAAACGAAAATTTTGATATTTAAGTTGTCTTTTTTCTGTACGTCATGTATTATTTGTATTAATGCAAATGAGGAAGTTTTATTTTGTTGCTCATTACATTGTAATTAAACTAGTTGGACTAGTGCTAATGATTCGTAAAAATTCTTCAGTATTGGTTACGTTTAGTCCGCTCAGTCTATTCTATACCTTACATTATTATCCTTACCTTTAAAAAAATCATTTTCATCATTCTTTGAAAAAGATCTACCAGATTTCGTTGGATAGATAGAGAGAAAAAAGAATTTTATTACAGAAATAGAGAGAAAAAGGAAGTTTACTACAGAAATAATGTATGTGACTGTTGCTACAGAACGACAATTGTGTCCATTATCATCGAATTCTTCAATTAAGAAAACCAAGCAATCGCTATTCCAGCTGACATTATGCATTGAAAATTCGAATGAATAAAAATAATATAAGTACAGTTGAGAAAACATGAGGAAAGAAGCTGACTCATATTTTATTCTCTGTACCAAACAGTTAAAAAATAAGATGCCTTAGTGCATTGAAAAATAAAATAATATATCTAGAGTAATATAAGTAAATTATCTCAAATAAATAAAACAAAATATTAGAAAGGAAAGCTTCTGTTTTACTCATTAAAAGCAACATAACAAACTTCTCTTAACGTCCCTCCTTTTATTAAAAAAAACTTTGAATTGTAATATTTCGTGCTCGAGGTCCTAAGAGACGCGTGTATCATTATAAATATACGCACGCCTTAAAAACAGATGCATTGATTTTATAAAGCTTCTTTACATATTAAATTCATTAAATTAAAAAAATACACAATATTATTCATCGGAAAGGGAAAATCTTCGATCATTTCTTTTACATCGAAAAAAGACTCAACGAATACCCGAAAATGGTACGGACTGTTTTAAATGTTTTCTGTAGCAACAATAAATTGAAACACAAAAAAACAAAAAACAAAAAAAAAAAAAAACTGAAAGCTTTCAGCTTTATATTACCCCCAAAGGGGCGTTTTTTTAACGTTTTGTGTGCTACCATTATTTATTAAATATCATGTTCTTCATACTTAAACCATAAAATCCAATTCAACATTAATATCACAAAATAATTTTAAAAGCGCATATCTTTAGAATTTCCGATACACAGTCTCGCGGGCTGGAGATAATTATTTTTATTTATTTTTTCCCTCGCACAGTGTTGCCGTTGCTCGCTTTGAAATCGTTGAGTTTCTTAATCAAAAACTCATAAATGCTATAGAAAATATAAAATATATAATAAAACAAATTCCAAATTTGGGCTTCCAGATGCCCAAATTCGGGTGGAGACGTATGTTATTCAAAATTTGATGGCTCTAGGTACCGTTATTTTATCACAGTGCGAGAGATATACATATATTTATGCAGATTTCTTCATTATTTAGTTTCTTTAAATATAATACAGGGCTATAATACTTGGTGGCAACAATTTAAAAAGTGATTCACCTTTTATAGTAAATCAACGCAAAATGCCAAAACGAAATTAATAGCCCTTCTGGGGAAATTGACCCTTTCGGATAAAATAAAAAGTAAACAAACATTGGAAATCCAAAATTCGAACCTCGAAGTCCGCATGCCCCTATGCAGGACTGCGTGTTTCATTTGATGGCTCTAGACTGCTACCGTGTTTCTACAGTCAAATGATCTCACGTACTCACTCTCAGATTTTTTACTTTTTAGTAATAGAGCCGAAGAATGTGTAAAAGAAAAACTACAACAAGGCATAGAGCACACATTTTTCGACAAATTTAAATAATAAAATTACTCTTTAATTGATGCTTGCAATAATTAGAGTTCTTTTATTATAATAAATGTAATTATTATAATTTCCTGGTATTTCTTCGTAAGATTTCATGTTTTTTTTTAGTTCTAGTCATTCATTCTTTTATAACATACTTGTTCTGATTATTGCGTACTTTTTGTGTTTCGTTCTATTACAAACTCTATGTTCGTGTATTTGTGTTCGTTCTATTTAACAAAATATACTCCGGAATGTTATGAACACCTGCATTAGTTTTTGAGGGACATTTCTGCGTCTGGAAATATGAATGAAACAGAAAATTTAAAGGCATCGAATTTCTAGCCGAAAATATTGATTACATCAAGCCAAAGTTCATCTTTTTTAGTTAATAGAAGTGTTAAGCTTCTTTGATGAGTTATATATTTATTACACAGCTATGTTTCGGTAAAGTTAAAAAGTTAATTTGGCGAGCTAGTTAAAAATATAAATTTTTAAATCTTCTCTGCTTTATTACTCGATCGTTTGATAATTCATCAGTATATATCTTCATTATTTTACCAAAGTACATTGCGAATACAAATTAGTGATTTTCAATAACTCTTTATTATAACTTTGCCAAATCAGTAACAGATTAGTATATCATTTGAACTCACAAGAAAAAAGTCAGAAAATGCACACAAGAAAAAAGTCAGAATATTCTGAGTAGAATTATATATATTGGAAATCGGAAAAGGTATAAATGCTTGGTTTTGATTGCGAAGAATTTTTATTTATCGATGGAAATTTCATGGGTTCAAAATGATAGAACTATCATAAAAGCTTACATTTTCTCACCCGCAGAATATTTTATCTGATATCAACCGAGAAGAAAAAAATCCAGCCATAAAAATGGTTATAGATTTGTAATTCGTAATATATCAAGAAATAATTCCAATTAAAGTGACCACTGTAAATTAATCCAGTGATCGACTCCTCTCTTTTACTAATATTTCCAAGCTCTAGCGCATATTTAATACAGGGCTTGTGTGCTTTTGTTAACCAAATTTTTGTCCTCTCGAAATTCGGGAATTTCTAAAATAGTGAATTAGTCATTAATCTATTTCGCAGGGACGGGGGATTCTCTCTCTTTTATTTATTTATTTTTTAGTGGGAGGGATAAGGAAGGGAATCATTCAAAATGAAAATGTTATATTCTTTTATGTATGTACTGCATCTTTTTTATTTATTTATATTGAATATGTTAACTGTACCTATTTTACGCTTTCTGACAGTTTTTATTGCATTAAGTATCTGATGCATGTAAGCCATCCCAATTTATCTGCTAAATAGGCCCTGTATTTTGACGTAGAATTTCTAGAAATAAAAAATTTCCTCTCACTTTGCGTTTATATCGGTTTTATGCAAAATATGACATTTCGTAGGATTTCCAAATTGTAGAGCCATATATAATAATATATTTCGGCTACGAAATTTTCTTTTTTGTTCCCCGCCTGTACATTATCAGCTACATAAAAAATAAAGCATATATCATAAGTGGCACATTTATGAAAGGGGAGGGGAGCTTTCTTAAAACACGGGTATATTTATTTTATTTTATTTTTTTTTTTAAACATTTTCACGCGATTTTTTCTTGAATCTGAAAAGAAACCTTGGGTCGATCGCAGCTGCGATCCTTTTAATGTGCTTGTTCATGATAATTTCTTGTAATAGCAGAAACACTAACATCAATAGATAACACGATTTGAAGTTGCTGGGTGTGTGAAATTTCATCTTTCAACAAAATCTTCTTTACAGTTTTGTAAGACAAAGGATAGCATTTAATTTCATCTTGTAATGAAATTCTTACATTCTGAGGAATTGCCTATCGTATTTGTTGTTATTACGGATCTCGGTCGAAAATCATCGCATTAGAAACATTTAATATTAATGTCGTAAGTGAAGATTTCATTACTGAATCATTTAGTGTTCTTTTAATATTTCATTTTAAATAATTGAATTAATCTCGTATCGTAAAGCTATAATTCATTTCCAGATTTTGTGGAAACAGAACAAACATAATGATTTAAGAAATAATTTTTTTTGTCGGATTAGAAAATATTTTTATATACTGGAATTTTCTCGGAGTTCTTCGCGAGAAACGGGAATCACCCGCAAAAATCTCCTTGAGAATAAATAGCAGCTCAGGATTTTCTCGTGAATCTTAATATTTCCTCGGGTTTCATGATCATATTAAGTACTAGATAGAACAAATGTATGTAGTAAATGGCGTTTTTTCGGTACAGACTTCCATGTTCATTTTTTTTCCCTTGTATTTTTTCAGATGCTGGTGACAAAAACGAAGCCGTGGTAAGTAGAATACATTTCTTTTTCATTCTTTGTCTGGTTCCAGTAGGTTAATCTCGCTCGTTGAATTTCATGCGTTAATGCTTACTTATCTTGTGTACCCAGCTGCCGCAGATTTAAACATCACAAACTACACATTTCACAGATGAATTTGTAAAATATGAAAAAATTCCTTTTGACATTTATGTTTAGGTATGCAGTATGATTAATTAGGCAATGCAATATAATTAATTAGTTGTCTGGGCTTTTGAATATGGAAATTACGTTTTTCTCGTGGTTAATCTGATCCTTTCAACAGCAGCATATACAGTAGCTTCATAGAGCTTCATAGGTGTTATCTGATTATGGCAAAGTAGATTATTTATGATTACTTTCCTAACGCCAGAAATACTTAAGTCTAAATGGCTCATATTATATTACATTGGGTTTACATAACGAAATATAATATTTTTATGAAAATTTATACATACAGTCCGTTTAGATTCTGAGGCTAAAATCTAGACAGAATTACTATTTTTTATGGTTTTAACTTCTCGTCCTGTGATGGACTTGAAAGAGTTAGATCAGAAAGCCTTTTATAGAATCTTCCCTTACTACAGGAAGCAGAGCCATTATTTGGGCCCATGCGTCTAAAATTAAAATTGTGAAAACAATTATTACATTATAATTTAACATAATAATTAATTATTTATTATGTTTGATATATGTAATAAAACTTACAAATATAAATGTACTTTTAAGAATCAGGAACTATAATAGAAAATAAAAACCATTCTCTTCTGTCTTCTTTCAAGAAGAACATGCTTTCTGTTGATTGGATATCATGAGAGTTAAAGATCTGTATAACACGGCCAAGCGCTAAGAGTACATGTGGCAGGGCCGTTCCTAGTGGGCGTGCAGCTTGTAAAGTACGCGGGAGGTCAAAATCAGGGGTAGCCGCGATACCACCACTAGTGCTTAAAATGTTTTTAATTCATTAAATTCATTGTAAGTACTTGTCATTTGTAAGTACTTAGTGAGTATGAAATAAAAATTTTATTGATCATTGAGCATATTTTTTTTTAATCTGGGGGCACAATTTTAGGAAAGTACTAGGGAAGCCAATGGCCTAGGAATGGCTCTGACATGTAGCCATGAATTTCACCTTTGGCATGTAATACAGTTTGGATTCGCATGAGAATCAAATCATACAAGTGCTGAATAGTGTCTAGAGGAATATTGTACCATTCTTCATGAAGATACTATGACCGTTCCGGGAGAGATGCTGGTGGAGTATATCGATTCTGGGTCATACGTTCTAAAACAGACCATAACGGTTCCATTTATATTGAGGTCGGGGGGACTGTCGGGCCGAGGTAGATATTTCACTTCATTCTCATGTTCATCAAACCATGATTATACAAATCTGGCTGCATGGATAGGAGCATCACCATCGTGGAAAATTCCATCTCTTGCATGAAACAAAATTTTCATCATAGGATAGACCTGGTCAGCTAAAACATCTCTATACTTCTCCTCAGTGATCCTTCCTTGGAGGGTTACGATTGGACTAGCAGAAAACCGCGACACGGCTTTCCATACCATGGCGGATCCATGCTTGACAGCTGGAAAGATATAATCTCGATCGTACACTTCTGCAGATCTCCTCCAAACGTGCACCCGTTCTGTTGTAGGGAAAAGTGTGAAAAAATGATACCATCTAACCATATACGTTCCACTTATCAATCGATCAGGTTTTGTGGTTCTGGCACCACTGTAGACGACGTTTGGCATTAGTATGTGTGACAAGTGGCTAATATTCTGTTTATGAAAATGCCTCCTAACTGTAATTATTGACAGTGAAGAATCCACATGCTTATTGAGCTCTGTAGTCACTTTGGCTGCAGTTATATCATTTTTTAGACATTACATTACGCTTCAATACCTTTCGGTCACTTTCACTCAGCTTTTCCTTCCGTCCACTATTTTGCTTTGTCGAGCTTCTCTTGTCGCGCTGTCATGACTGTAGACACTGTACCTCTAGAAATGCCTAAAATAGCTCGGATGTTTCAGTCACAGTTGCTCCAGCTAATCGGGCTCTTACAGTATGGCCTCTTTCAAAGTCTGTGAGGTGTGACATTTTATGCTTCGGACGAAACTCCAAGACGTATACAACTTCACTAGAGCTACCTCATGCTACTATGATGTATACTGTATTTTAAAAAACTGATAGCTAGGATTATATTTTATTGCGTACGAAACGCAAACTTAGATGTCATTTTTTTTTCACAAGTGTTTCCATTATTCTGATAACCACCTGCATATTCACTTTATAATGACCATGATTCAGGTTACTGAATTATTTATAAGTCTGATATAAATTATATTAATATTTAATTATATATTATAAATTTCATATTCTTCGGCTAATTTCATTCTATAATTTTCTTACTATATTCAGAAAATATCGAGTAGGAAAGGAAAGCTTTTATTTATCAAAGTACTTTTTAAATACGATGAAAATATAATGAATAATTAATGCACATAGTATTGTGCGGATTAACTTAGTAACATATCATATATTCCTGCAAAACAAAATTAAATACAGTCAAAAGTCGTTAATTCGGACACCCATAATTCGGAATAATCTATAATCCGGACATCAAAACTAAAAACTTTCTGCGCATACGCCGCGTTGACACATGCGCATAGGCGTTTACGCGTGCGCGTAAGACCTTTTACGACTGCGCATATCAGTGTGCGCAAGTGCAGAATACGTTTTCGCGTGCGCGTTTTATGTATAATGGACGTATAAGCTAAAATTATCTAATTATCTATTTCAGTTAATGATGATTGCGTTGTTCCTTAATTTTCGAATTGGATCCGGCTTATTATTTTTTGCAGACTGTAAGAGCAATTTTATAAAAGTAAGCTTAAACTTTCGATTATATCAAATAGAATTTCCGATATATATTTGTTAATATGTAAAGGATCTAAAGCGAAAGTATGTTTTGAAATCCGAAATCTGTTTATCAATTTCACGCTGCTCGGCGGGGGGAACGCCGTGCCGCGGCGGGCGCATAATGAATTGGAAGTTGATTTGTCAGCACTATCCTTATCTTCAGCGCAGATGTTTTTATTTGGCTTATAATTCCTTACCAAATGTAGTATTTCATCTCGATATGCTCCGTTCTTTGATATGATTTAAAACAAGTTCCTGGTCATTATAATTCGCTTCCCATAGCGAAAAAAAGTAAGAGAGGTTATTGAAAACGAAAAAATTTCGATTGACAAATTAGTCGGTGTTCTTGACACAGCAATTATAGGACTTGAACAGCGGAACTTTGTAACTGAACAAGAAAGAAATTATGTCTGTTTAATAGAATTAAAGAGAAAGTATTATCACATGAAACGAAGCAAAACTTAAACAACTTACATTAAAAGAAATGTTTAATAAAGTAAACAAATAAATATTAAGCTTTTTCTTTTTGCAAATTTTGATACCCTTAGATCATAATTGTTCTTTATTTCATAAATTACGGTTTCATATTTTTAATTTTAGAATTTCTGCATGCCATCTTACGAGATTTAAACTGATGATCTATAATCCGGAATCGCCGAAGTCCCGACGAGTCCGGATTAACGACTTTTGACTGTACATATAACAGATTAAATACTGCTTGAATCTTCATAAAAAACTCTACAAATGTCCAGAGTAGATTAAGATAATTCAAATAAAATAAAATTTAGTAAAAAAATATTATGTTGAAAATCACTAGAGTAAGGGGAATGGAATTTGAACAATTTAAGTTACAATACTTGGATAAATTTTCTTAAATTCCGGAGTACATTTTCCTTAGCGTAAGCAAAAAATTAAAAACAGAGAGATTCGGTGATTTACCGGAAGATGTGATGGAAAACCAGGAGTGTCGACAGTTATACTATGCCCGTAAAGTCACTAGAAATCAGCGAAACAAAGTAGAAATGTAAAATCTTCACCAAATAAAAGGAAAACTCTCCAAGTTTCACTTCTGTTCAGTTTAGTTCGATGTGGCCTCCATTTGTTGCCCTACACACATCACATCTAAACGATATTCAAGTTCTTCCCACACACGGTTAAGGACGTCTGGTGTAACAGAGTGATTAATGTCTATTAATGTCTATGATTCTCTGTTTTAAATTATTAATGTCGTTGATACGTTCACTGTACACACACATGTTGCTTCGCATAACACCGCAAGTAAAAGTCTAATGACCGATTCGCTGCTACACATTTCGTGGTGTTGCGTCATCACCTTTGTGCGCACACTCTTACTATGAACTGCACACACATCATACTATGAAAACCTGGAGAGTTTCCCTTTCATTTGGTGAAGATATCACATTTCTATCTTGTTTTGTTGCTTTCCTGTGACCGGTCAAAAGTGGACCATGACTTTATGGACACACTGGACGTAGCTATCGGAACCTGTGAGTCGAGTGACGCATTAACGATGCAAATATGAAATATTACTAAGAAATTTGATAAAAAATTACATTTAGTTTTTAATAGGGCTTTATTTCTTAAAATTAGAAAAGGCGGAATCCTGTGGCAGGAGCGATAAATAAAAGATAAGTAAAATCATAAATAAAACAATAAACATTTAAATTTTAAAAAAGGTATACAGAGATCAATAATATTATTAATAAATTAAATAAAATTAATCAGGGCTCATAGCCACATTTTAGTTAAAAAAATAAGCACCTATAAGCACTTTTCAAGCACATTTTAAGAAAAAAAAAATAAGCACCTGTCTAATTACATTATACACAACTGCATAACCTTAAAAGAAAAATTAGACTTGCAATTTAAAATATGAGCAATGCAATATTTATTAAGAGAATAAGCATTACCTCAACCATGGAAAACAACTTTTTTTTTTTTTTTTAATTTTAAATGACAGTTCAATTTACAGAATTAGTTTACAATGAGAAAAAAAAAACTATGCAGAACTAAACTATATTACAAGATTTAATGATGAAAT